TTTCTCGTAAACTGGAGGGAAGAGGGGAGACGAACCACGAGGTCCTTATTTCCACACGCAAATTGACTCTTGGTCTTTTCTGTGAGTAAGCCAACACTTCCGGCAGCTCCTTTTATCAACACTGCATTTCTATGGTCATGCACATTACAGAGAGGTAAGTGTCCAATTTTACAGCTACTTTGCCATGAATGTGGATTTGAGAAGGCTTGTAGGGAGAAGTAAGGGGGCTTTCACCAAGTCGATCTCTCTTTGTTTAGCAAATGTCGGTCCTTGATTGTCATTCAAAGTAAGTATTTGTTTTTATTAATGCTTCCAGAAGTGAATTTTTCTTACTTTTCATGTGGTTGGACACATCCTGCCATGGGCGAGACCAAAATTTTGTCCGGACTATCATTGCACTGGAGAGTTGATCTGATGATCTTAAAATTCACTGAAAATGCCTCAGTATTGACGAGGTGAACAACCTTTTCAACTTCTCTACCGATGGGAACTTCTGGCAGGCGGAGGTGGCTTCGATCAAAGGCAACGATTGCCTCCCTCACTTGACCCACAAGAAGCAGCGGCTTGCGGTACCCAGTCGTTTCAAAGATTACACACACCTCTTTCGTCTCTTTGGTCTGGCTCACAAATGACACTTCCACCTTGAATGGGAAATCATTGTTATTGTCACCATTTTCCAACAGAAAGGTGGAGTCATCTTTCCAAAATCAAGTCAGAAGCTGACTCACGTTAATTGAGTGACCCGGTTCAATGGTGGTTGCAGAAAGCACCACATCCATCGTTTTATCACTTGGATCGACCTTATTGACGCCAAGTTCAATGCAAGATTCACTAGCATTTGTGATCTCAAATGACCTGTTTCAAACAAGCAAAAAAATACTCAACAGTGTGGAATGACTGCACTAGAATTTTAAAGCTTCCTAAATACCATTATCAAGATAAAAGAGTAAAGAAAATCATAAATACATGCATTTTTTCGCTTTATTTGTGGTGAAAAGACAGGAAGTATGTTCATGCAATTATTTCGCTGAATGCCTCCGGGTTAAACCTGAAAATAAATCATTTGGATTGCATACCTTGAAACTTTATTGCCAATTCCGGTACCCACTATTATCAATGTCTGAGGCATACACCAAAGAGGATCGGCAGGTAAATGTTTTGCCTCGTAATCACTTTTTGGAAGCCCTAGTTGTACAGGAATGCTAGCTCCCCTTCCAAATGCGTGTATGCGTTTGGAGGCGGTGGACACGTCCAAGGTACAAGGCACTCTCAAAATGAAGTTGCACTCATGTTCACCCGAACGTATTGGTCGAAATGACAGCTAAAATGCACAGGAATCGGCAAGTACTGAGGTTATCCACGGCCTTGTACAGCATCCTCCCCTTCAATGTCCTTGAAGTCACCTTTAAGGTTTCGTTATGGAACACACTCCAACTCCTATTGCCGTTGCTTCCTTCTGAGTGAGCAATACAACGGTATAAATAACTTTTTATGCGCCGATGACTACCTAACTGTCAAGGCTATTTAACGTGATGATCCTTAAAGTGGCCCAATGGTGAGGGCTTGCTACTTGGTGCTCCGGTTGGAGACCTAAACAGTCCCTGTGCTGTAGTGCGGCATGGCAGTACGTAAGAAAAGGACTGAAGGAAAAATTGTCGCGATTTGGAGCCAATAAGCAGTCTTTTAGAGTTTTGAGCCCAATGCTTTGCCTCGGTGTTTGTATTTATAATCTAAATTTTACATTGGAGTCCCGCAATATCTTCAAGTCAACTATCCATTGCCATTCCTATCATACGCCGTTCAATGATTTAAAGTCAAAAAAGTAGACAAACGATTGTTCAATCTGGCAGTTGGTCGACTCCGAGGAATGCATAATACTCTTTTTTTCTTAAATTCAGCCTTTGTCTTATTTTAGGCTTCTGATTGGCGAAAGGGAACAGGCTATTGTGTTCAAATCTCTCAGCCACGCAAGCCGTATTGCAATACATTGCAATTCACCACTTCCGGGACTTCACTGTTAAATTGCATTCTCTATTTGGTAAGTCTAGCATCATGAGCGATGTGTTATTTCAAAAGAACATATCGTGTTCGTTAGGCTGTTGCAGCTAAACCACTTTAACACTTACCGCAGAGAGCCGAGACCCGACATAAAAAGGTTTAACAGTGATGGTTTTAAAATTCTAAATTAGAGAACCGGTTATCGTAATAATTCCCTAGGTTCAGGGATGAGGTTATTCTGGTTCCAAAGGGATGACTTCTCCTTACTTTAACTTCAGAATAGACCTTGAAGGCACTGCATTTCTGCAGAATTTATATGGTTCCCTCTATTTAACTGCGGGGTGGAGATATTTCGGACAGAGTGCACACCTACAGCCTAACTTGTCTTGATTGAGCATAATATCCACCCCGTTAAAAGTACCTTTCAGAGTGAGATGTTGCCAATATACAGCAGCACTACCTGCGAACCCATAGCCTTGACTTTCTGTACACTCCAACAAAGCTTATCAAGCAAAATTATATTCACCTATAACCAATCTTTTAGCCCCATAATCACCGAAAGGGGGGCGGGGGAAAGGAAAGTTTAGCAAATAATTTATCCGACCTTAGTCAAACAACTATAATACCATCAAAATTAACTGTTGGCTGTTATTTGTGTCGAAAAGGCTGGATCAAAATCGGTAAAGACGCACAAACCTCAAGAGTGAGCAGATCTCAGAGGCTATCGAAACCTTGAAACAATGTGAAGGTGGAAGAGAGAATTGCATGCCTCCATCACCTCCACACAGTGTCTCCAGTGAACTATGCCTCTCTTAAAATACCCCATTTTCAATGCAGAAATTATTTCTACTTTATTTTTTAGTGGAATAATCGAAATTATCAGGAGGGAATTTTAAAGAATTTACCGGGAAAATGTCCGCTTTACTTATGGCTTACCTGTAATTCTACAGCTCTTCCTGGTGGAATCAAACTTTCACTTATGTCCACTTGAAACGATCCAGTCTCATCATCAACTTTTTCGAGACGAAAAGTCATTGTCACTCTTCCAGTGTTTCGAATCTTCAACCTTCGTAAATGGACTTCATTCAAAAGGTGAAGGCCAACTTACGTTTTAACTGTTTCACAGTACAGAGGTGTATCTGCAAATTCAATAGAGTTCGCTTCACACAAGTATTCCACAAAATCACAGTCAACGGTAAAGTAAAAGTCTAGGAACGTCGTCTTCTCCTGCACCATTTTTTCATCATCCACTGCACTGTATCTGAGAGTATCTTCAGAGTGGATATCTGGTTGATAATCCGATTTTAACTTGGGTGATCCCATAACTCGACGTGGGAGCGATCCTGCGCTGCGAGCACTGATGAAGGTGACATCGAAGGCTGTGTTATTTATCAATATTGAAAAGTTAAACTTTCATTTGATCACATCATCTTACCAAGGATGAGCCTTATCAACGCCTTCGTTTCCAATAATTTTGAAATGGTCCTTAAATGCAGAAAAGGGATTGGTCACCGCACGAACTTACGCACCGTAAAGTCTTTATCACGTTCTAAGTTCTAAATCACTCGAAAGAGGACTTCACCCTGTGACCTGGACCATGTTATCAGCTTACCTTTTGAAGTTCTTCCTTCGATAACTTTGTAAGCTCACAACGTACTGGCGACATATGATAGACGGCAGGTCTATCACTGCGAAACTTCACAAACACGGACAATGAGGATCCCGGACGCAATTCCCCGGTGGCTGGTTCAAATTGCAAATGTGGATGGTCTTGTGGCCAAGAAAATGTAAATGCTTGAGGTTTTCCGTCTTTGAATGCTGTACAGTCATTTTCTTCAGTTTTGGCTGGATAACTTATAACAAGGCGCTCAGTGATTGTGGATCCAACATAGCAGTTACCGAACCTCATGTGATTCATAGCGGTTTCTAGGAGCATAATTATTGTTAGGTTTTCGCTTTGTTCATTCCAAAATGAAATGTCAAGGAACTCCCAAAAGGGAAGGGTTGCAATAAAAATGCTCTTACCCTTAAGTCAAGTCATCTCAAAATTGGTTAAAAATGTAATGAGCTCTTAGAACTGCATAAAAACACCTAAAATCTCGCCTTCAAAATCCTCAAATTCCGTTGTTGAATGAGGTAATTGAATTTGTGGAGTTGATATAAGCTCTGATGGAAAGACTCCACATAGTTCAATAACTTCTTTATCATAGTTATTGCCTTGGAAGAAAATTTTAATGCACCCGATTACACGGCCACTGATGTTGTGTTTCATGGGCATGAAAGTGACCTCGAGACTCCGGGTATCACCCGCGGCTAATGTAAAATTGACCGAGGTTTGCCGAACGTCAGATGTAACACCTAAAATGGACAAAATAATGGTATAACAGTTAAATTGTAGCGAATGTTATAGTTTTTCTTCGACCGAAATTTTACCGTCTTCGTTTCCAAAATGGCAATCACCTAGTCCGAAAGCCTCGTAATGGCCTTCCGTTGTCTCCACATTAACATTTACCTGAAAATTTTTAACAGTCACAATTGTTAGATACTCTTTATTTACCTGACACGGAATCACCCTATCATTCCTAATTACGATGGCCTTTGAGGCATGATATTTGTTAAAAAGCAAGTAGAGATGTCCTCGAGAATTTCGTGAGGTCGGTTCTTCTACGATAGCATGAGGCAGCTGTCCTTTACCCCGCAAGTCAAACTGCAACAAGGGAGCACGCTCCCCCTCAGTAAGAACTTGGAAAATAGTCGAGAAAATCTAAAGTTGAGTACAGAAATTATAATAACTTCTACTTATAATTTGTAAGTAAAATGTATTGAAAACCAACCCCGAGCGAATTCGAGGTGAAGGAACAATCGACGTAGACAGACTGGTAAGGTTCAATGTGTGATACAGCAGGGAACACATTAAACGCCTCTAAGGCGTTAGTATCATTCCGTCGAGTTTTTCGTTTCCTTTCTGATTTCGCCTGTCTTAAAACGAAACTCAAATCCAGAGCAGCCTTAGAATTGTTAGAAATCCGAAACCTTCCACGTGAAGCAACGCCAATTGGTGTAGTCCCAAAGTCAAAACAATTTTCGTTCTCAATGTATGTTGCGCCTACAATCTAAATTAAGACGGAGACGTTTAGAATGCTATCGCTGAATAACCTACGCCATGATTTGCCAGGCTCTCAAGTTCATTAAGGGATTGGCAGATTTGATGCTCCTCGAAAATAGAAGTCAGATCTACAATTTCCAAGGACGGACTGCACACTTCCACTGAAAGTTGCAAAGGAAGACTAGCAATAACCGCTTCACTATTTGATTTATCCGCAATCCAAACGACAAGTTCCTAAAATAATAGCGTACATCTTTACGGATTTAGATATTATTTGCAGAACCAGACGCAAATGGGTATTAGACGATGTTTATGCTCTCCTTAACTGAGAATTGGCGATTCATGAAAGCGGTAGGGTCTATGGGATTGTTAAACTATAGCAATGAAATTAATAGTTTGTGCGGTCATCTTCCATTCAGCGTTGTGTGGCTCCATTAATCACTAGTTTAATCAACTTCCAGATCTGGTACCGTTTCGTAGTCGTTACAGTGAGGGAAATTGTTACCTTTGACCAGAATTATGTCTTAAAATGGCCTTAATTTCTAAGTATGCAGGTCGTCTGTGAACCACAGTTGTAAAGAGGAAAGTAAAACACACTTTAGTGTAAAATCCACCGTTCATACATTCATCCGTGCTAAGTCGACCAGAAATATGGGAGTGTGAGCATTTTAAGTGCTTAACCATATTTGGATTATTAACAATAAAAGGCCATTTTCTTGAGCAAAAACCACGCAAGACTCCTCAAAGCTAGGTAAACTATTTCCGTAAAGTGACTAAATGCTTCTTTGCAGTTGAAAGCAATCACTTGCTGATAGTCGCAAAAACCTTTCCAAAATTATTTCCCGCATTGACTACCACCTGAATCCAGTGCATAATAAGAGCGAAGGGTCCTAAATGCCTCCCTTGCAATTTTTTAATATAATATTAAACATCGCGATCACCTGCGAAATGCTTATTTTTCTGCCAAACGTGCCCCTTTTGTGATCTATTCCAAAATAATGGAAAAACGCATAATACAAAGCCCTCAGACCCGATGAATTTGAACTGAAGAGAGCATCGACTGCCTACCTCGTCAAACGCAGCTTTGATTGGTCCGCTTAAACACTGAATTGTTATTAGCTGCTTCTGACCAATAGAAATTGGACCCCTGGTTGGTGAAACCACAAAAGGTCCCTGCGAAATCCTCCCTCTTACGTCAGCGCCCACCGATCGCGTTTGACTTTAAGAGAAAATAGTCCATTTGAGGCAAAAACTTCTTAAACTCCATAAGCTCTTAACTTTTGCATAAGTGCCATTACCCATTATTTTCGGTTATTTTGGAAACAGATAACATTACGATAACTTCAGAGAAGTGGTTAGCGGTAATGCGGTAAACGGCTAGAAATTCACAGTTCTGAATGGAAAAACCATGTGCTCATAACATTTGTACGGATTTTTGTGAGAATTGCATATCTGATTAGACATCTAATACGCTACTTCTAACTCTATTTTGCACCCATTTTTATGGGACGTATGAAGAGCGTGATTCCCAGAATCCTAATGCTCGCATACCAAAGAAATTTGGCCAGTGATCAGAAAACAGGCTTCCATTCTTCATTTGCACTCACCTGGATCCGCGTTTTACCGCACAAGTTCTGGGTTTAGAGGCCTTTGGAATAATTAAGAAGTAAAGTTCAAATGCTCCATCATTTTCGATTGACACTTGCTCTGATGCCTGGGTATTAATCACCATCGTCCCAAAGGATATTTTATTGGATGGGCGAATTTTAAAACTAGGATAGAGACAGGAATTTCTTGTTGAATGACTCACCAGGGTCTGTGCATAGCAAACACATGCGTAAGCCTTTATGGTGTTTTAGATTTCGAATTTTGCGGTAACTTTTAAGAGCCAATTCTTAGTGTTCAGCGGCGTAAGCATGTGTAGTAGCAGTACAACTCCTTCTAAGTTGAGATTGAAGACGTTGAATATGGACCCTTTGGAGTCCTGCCTCACTACAGCTATTTTATGCAGCCTTAATAGGGGGACTAGAGCTGTGTAAATAAGACTCAAGCTCTTGAAACGTATCTACGTTGGGACAGCACTGAAAGTCGCATGATGGAACTACGTATGGCCAGATGCACTCAAGGTTTGTCCTCCTTTGAAAAGCGCAAAAGCGCAGCAATTCCCTGAGCTCATTCATGTCTTATTTTAAATACTGACATGCGTGCGACAATATATGGGTTAGCTCGATGCTTCGCGGCGAAGACAATTAAGTTTCCATTGTCCACTTTGCTTGTCATCTAATGTAAAGCGACTCACCGATCGCGGCGTATGCTCACGGTAATGGGGATTGCAGTAGAAGATATTGAGACGCCTTTATGTGTTTTAACCTCACAGATAAAAGCAACTTCATTTTTAACCTCCACCTCGTGCAAGGAAATACAGTGTGCCTAAAGCAGGCGTCTCAGTCAATTCAATAGTTTACCGTGATAATTAATTTCTGTGATGGTAGAAGAATTCCACTCTCCGGAGTCATGGTGAAGGCATTTTGTAAGTGCACATGCTTCCTCTGCGGCAATACGTCTTGGAATCTACAAGATGGTCGATTTGACTTGTTAACATTCATAAAATTGTCAGCTCACCTGTACTGTAATTTAAATGGGCCATGATTTCTCAATTCCAGGGTTTTTTTAGTTTCTTCTTGAACCCTTATAAGTCCAAAGTTTAGCCCTTCTGTAAACTCAAATGTAAATGCACGTTAAACAAGTAAAGGCGAACCTTTTGGCATAAAAATCTCAAACTTGGGATCCACCACCTCCACTTGAACACCAACAGGCGGTTGAATGACCATCGGATTTGACAATCCTCTAGTATCCATTGCAACAAAGCGCAACCACTTCTTGATTGCTATCTTTTGAGGAATAGGAGACCCATCATACTCCACTGTAATGTTTACCATATCATTGGACGATTTAAGAATGCCAGTAGAGGGGAATACTCGAAAGCTATTTTCCTTAGATGACCCCAAAAACTCGCATTTCCAAGCAATGGGGATTTGGGTAGGATTAAGAATCAGAATTTGCTGCCTTTCAGTTCTATATGCAGCCGCAGTAAATGTCAGATATTGCGCTTACTTATTTAATGGAATTTTCCCAAAATTAACAACGTTCGTTTGAACTGTAAGATTCGGTAAAACACCAATCACAGCAAAGTCCCATTTGATAGGTTCTGGATTGTTCCTAATCCAACCAATTAATTTGCTCGTTGCAATGACATTTGTTGTTGGTAGAGCATACACTTTTACAACTTTCATTTCATCCCGATAAATGTGAAGTTCTGTCGGTGACACCGCAAAATTTTCATCCTCTTTATCGTCCTCAAATGTCAACTTTACTTCCACATCAAGCAGTCCATCGTTTTGCAGTTGCAGCTCTGTAACATTCTCCTTGTACTCGCCAGCCAAAATTCTGTAAAGCACAGCCAGCACTAAAGCGATACCAAAACTCACAAGGTTATGGCTGTGAAACAAAAACTAACCGATCTCGTGATTTTGCTGCTAGTAGAGGTCCAAATTCGAAGCAATTTTTCTCAATTATGAAGGCCTTCCTAACTGGTTCATTTGAAGAACAACATTCAACAACTTTTGGAAAAACCTTTCTGGAGGCGATTGGATATGCATTGCACAATGCACATACCTGGGTTCCATTGCCAATCGAGGCGTCTGGCAGCAGCCTTGACACTCGACTTTTATTTCCTCCTTCGTTCTTTGAAGCTCAAATCTAAGGCATTCCCTGAAATCACCTACTTCATCTGGAGCGAACCTCAAGGTGAGTTGGATTTGGTCATTCTCTGGCACAACCCATCGGTAGATGGATGGGTCACTGGTCATTAAAGAGCTTCATTGAGGTTTATTTCAAAACTCCTTTCCTGTTCACTTATATGCTAGTCATTGCTTTTAACACTTAGGCATCATTTAAAAAGGTTTTTAGCAGTTAAAATAGTATCCTCTTGAAATAGACACATTTACCATGAATTTTGATTAGAAATTGCAAATGCTTCCACCTCTCGCCGCCGTTTGCCTCTAGAAGATGAGCTTGTTAATGGACGTCTCAAACTGCCTGTAGTGATGGGCAATTTACCGGTACTTTGTGAACCTTCTGTCATCTAGATATTGGAACGCATCACAAATCACGGGTTCGAACGTGTACAAACTCGCCATTTTGGTATCACTATACCAAATGCACCTACCTCTATCGTTTTTGCCAAACCTGAAGCCTTTACAATGGTGAAAAAGGGATTTAATTCGTCACACTTCTTCCTTTCAGCTGGTCGACGAAGAACAGAAAATGTCATTGCTGTGGGAACGTCGATGGGAAGTGGTCCATAGCCCAATTGACGCCGAATCTCCTCTCGTGCTGGTAAATGAGCCAATAGACTGTCCACCATCATCGAGATGTTTGGGCTCTCTCGTTGGACATCTTTAACGCATTCAAAGATCCGGTCCGCATTTGCCTCCCCAATCTCGACGTCCAATTTCGAATGGACAACAAAGTGTGCAATGCCGACAAGACTTTCCCCCGGATCATGGGAGGAAACATGTTTAGGCGATTTTAAGTCAGTCGGTGGTCGTGTTGCTCCGTTTAGATTTTGCTCTTGGTTCTTGGTGTCCCAAGTGCTTAGAAGGTGACAGGTTCTGCGGTGCTCCTTCTCAAATTCCTTTACCCTATAATAGAGGCATCTTCCTCGAAATGGTACGTTGCGATTTTGAGTGGTCAACGCGTGCTTATAGGTAATGGCAACGTACAAGACAACTCTCTACGGCCTTTGCCCTAAGAAATCAACTCACTTGGCTTCGAGGTCTGCAAACTTCTCCCTGTTCGAAGTCCCGCAAGAGACAGAGGAATTCAGTCCATGATTTCGGCTAAATGTCTCATTTCTAAATGAAGAGACGCCTACCTCCTTGAACTGCTTTTTAATTGGGATTGTACAACTACTCTAAGGAGGTTAGTCCCTCTATTAACATCCACTTACTCTTTACTTTTCATGTGCTGCTGCTGACATTTCCACTTGACCAGGATGGAATTAACTTCTGCACGGGCACTGTCTGACAGTGTGTCGTATTGCCACTCCTCCAGATCCCGGTATTTTCTAACTTTGCATTCAAAAGCATGCTCTTCTGCCTTGCTCAAGGCCTCCTCGTAGCGGGCATCTGCCAGATTGATCGAAGCTATGTCACGAACGACTGTCACCGCAAAAACATGTATTGCCTTCTTGCCCAGGGCTTTAAGAACAACCTCACATCGTTTGGAGCTGTTTATTTCACTCACTACGAGTCCAAACGTACAGTCGGACAACATCAGCCGCCCAGATAGAGCTACTTCCTCAGAATTCTGTGGGAGGAAATTGTTGCCAATCTAGAAGAACATACCTGCGAAACTGTGGTGTCGAGAGTGGCAAAGAACTCCTCCAAATTAAGGTTTGCTGCATTATAATACTGTGCTAGAGACTTAGCGAGATCATTTTTCCCTGAAAGCGGTGAACCGAAGATCAGCAATACAATTCCAGTCCCTTCGACCCCAATCTGCCTTTCCTCCACATATCTTCGAAAAGTTGTCAGATCGCCAAATAAACTTGAATTGCATGACAACTTTTTTGAAGATTCCAATGTCTGTTTTGTTGTACCTCGTTGTGAACTCCTCTGGCGACTCATCTGCGATGAAATTTGACGAGACTAAGTCAACAGATATCCTTACCTTTGGTATGCCAACATTTGACTCCTTTACTTGAGACAGTTCCACTGCCAAACTTTCCCTTGGTTTTCTCGGTGGTAGAAGTACTTCTTCAGCCTCATCAAACATAGGCAAGGAGGTGAGGCATCTTTCCTCCTATTTGAGTAAAAGAAGGTCACATGAATGGAACAGAAACTAGCCTTTATATAAACTTGATCAAAATCAAGACTGTAGAATTCCACAGGAAAAGGACAGGGATTCTTGACAAAAATGACTTGTTCATCCGTCTCTCCATTAGGTAGTAGAGGCTTGAACTCCACTATATGCGGCTGGAATATCAGGTGCGGCTCCAGTCCCACGCCTTGACAAGTAACTGACAACTCTGCTTTGCTTTCTCTTAAATGAAGGTTGATCGTTTCCCTTACAGGTCCACTTATTCTGGGATTGTACTTAATCTATGGGTGAAAGAATTATCAGAGGGAATGGGAGCGTACAAACACGTTGGTTCTTTGGTCTGGCTGCAGGCACCCGCCCCTCGGCATGACCTCAAAGGCACTTGCAGTCGCCTGGAGTCGTGATTCGCTCCAATTCATGGAAAAAGGTGTTGGATTGTGCAACTGAACAGCCAATATTTTGGCCTCGTCCATGTAGACTTCGCCAAAATCGAGACGATCTTCGCTGATTTCCAGATTCGGAGCAACTACATTAGCCACCAGTCGTATAGGCAAGACAATTTTGTGATGAATCTACCACTTTGTGCCTTTTTAATAACCGTACCAACCTTTAAGGGTATCTCCAGGGCAATATGACCCGTTTCGCTGTTAGATGAATCAAATGCTATGGAAATTTTGTCCTCGATTTGAACAGTCACGCCTCTCTTGCCTAACAACTTCCTGTCCATCTTTTCGATGTGTGGATGGCATGCAAAATTGTGGCCCAGTTGTCTAAAAGTCAATTTTCTTTCCTTGACCTCACCCTGATTGATGTCATAAAGGTCAAGCTCATAAGATGGAAGGGTCAGACTAAACGAGCCGAATTAGCTATAAAAATAGCCTTACGGGAGACTTGGTAGCTCAACAGTTAGCTGGGAAGTTAGAAATTCCACTTCAACTTTGCATAAATTGTTTCGTCTTGGAGACTTACCATCCGGACGAGGCGAATCTAACACCAAGTGGGGAAAGCAGGCCATTCCATGGACCATAATTGGTTCTGGATGCTTGCCATCTAGATGAACTTTAGCAAAGACTGTGAACGCCATCGGTTTTGGCACCTCCGCGTATACCGTCACTTCAGCAAGACCTTTTCCTGGTACTTCCCCCTCCATTGGTAATATTCGAAGTTTCACATCATTCTTATCCCAAGTAAAGCAGAATGAACTTGGCACCTTTCCAGCATTGTAGATGTGGAATGATTCTGTCACCTCTACACCGAATTGAATCTCCCCAAATGATACTTCGTTCGTTCTGACATAGCAGTCGGAGGTCGAGCATTCACCAACCAAGTCCACGGTGTAGCTCAGACCGTCAGTAACGTCACAAACCGCAACACATCGGGCTGACACATCCGAGGGGGCATGAAAGTTAATGCAGGTAGAGACACTTTCGCCTGCGGCCACAATGTTCGACTCGGGTGTGATTGTAAATACATCTGTGATGTGTAGTGCGTCAATTTTGGCGATCGAAGAGGCATGAACAAGAGGCGCTTCAGGAGCCGGGCGCAATTCCTGCGATTTTGAACGTGTGGGGAGGCGCAATTGCTCCTTTGGGTTATTCTTGAGGAAACCATGAGTAAGCTTCCACTGATAGCTGACTTCGATTGGACTGTTGTTGAACAGAATCAGACATTTTTGCACTTCACTTCCATTTTCTACGCATCCAAAATCCAGGAGATTAGTTTCAAGTTGAAGGCTGGGGAACCAGACCTCTCCGCGAATGGGGATAGCGAGCTAGAAAGGTGTGTTGAATGGCTATTACTTACCTTTGATGGGTGTTTGAGGAAAGAGATTGATAGGTGTTCATCGACAACAAAACTTGTGTTTCTATTGTTCCATAGGCGTGGATTGAATCCAATCCAGAATCTTCTCTCACCTCTACCAGAAAGCGTGAGTTCCTACCGATGAAAAAGACCGATAACACGGACATATGAGTACATACAAGACTTTGAGCTAGTCTCGCATATTCGATGAGGAAGAATGGTTCGTTGACGACCACCTGGATTGTAGTTTCAATTCCCGTGAGATTGGTTAACACGGTGCTCTGATATGCATTCTCAATGTCTTTCGCTGGCACCTTTAATGAGTGTTTCAGTTTTTGCCTTTCATAATGTCAATTCACTCACTTTAAGGAGACAAAAATTAATTGGATTTGGAGCAACCTCGATCATGGGCTTGATAAACTCCGCTGAGACGGTACACTCTCGAAGAAGCCGTTTGTGCCCGGCGTTGTCTATCACTGTGTGGCATTTGAGGGTGAACCTTATTTCCATAGCTCTGTAGGAGTTAGTGAGAACAACAAGTCAAGCCTTCCAAAGGAAATATACGAGCACTAATGAGCTGCGGTGAGTTGCTTTTATGGATGAGTCTTTATAGTCTCAACAATATTTTCTATTGTCTGGGGGAATGTCAGGGGGGTTTGATCTCTTGAAGCAGTCTGCAGGGCACGTCGACAACTAAGGAAGTGGAATTGGAATTTGCCATCAGGGTGCAGATGGTTTTAAACGTTCCTCCTCAGAGCATCTTTTGTGTTGACCTCTTAAGTCTTTCAGTACGATTCCATTAATCACTGTTATTGAGGTGTGGACAACTTTTGGACCCGAAGGGCGCTCCGTTCTCTACATGCTAGTTCCTGACCCAGATACTGTACAGTTAAGCCAAAATTAATAAAAGATAAGCCTGTCAAGTAAGATCGAGTGAAAAGTCCATTACTTTGCCTATAATGAAGGGAAGTCCTGGGTTGCATAACGAGGAAACCTACCTTAACGGGGTGCTTCCCGTTTAACCTCTTACCTGCCGGAGGATACCATCAAAGATAGGTCTACGCCTTGGAGAGACTTCAGCTCAAACTTTGGAGGATCTAACTTAATTAGGTATTCCGAATGCTTGGGCTTCTGCAATAAAATTGATGCAGCATACAGAAAGTGAGCTCTATACTGCTGTTATGGAAGACTCTCTCGTAATACCTTCCTAGATTCCGCATTCTGAATGCAGAGGATGTTTTCTGTTGTCCAGACAAGACGCTGTTGACGCCTTCCACAATTCTTTATTGCAAAAACTTTTGTCTGTACCAGTGATTCAAACTGCTGACCCAAAGACAAGTTCGGTGACATTTCCGGTTCAATTACGATTGTACTGCCAACACCGATGGCTTGCAGTGGTAGAGTGTAAGGAGAAGCCTCGGCGCTCTGCACGTAGATTTCCAGCAGACCGGAAAGTTTTACATCGACCTCGTCGGCACATGCAGTTACTTTAATCTCACCTTTACCGAACGGCGGTATTGTCGTTTCTGATGGGCTTACATGAAAGACGGTAGATTTCTGCACCTTGAATGAAAAGTATGGACAAAACTGCCAAGAATGGAAGGAGGACTATGATAGTAATAGATAAAACGGAAAAAAAGATGAGGTGACGATAAACATGCTGTTTTTTTGTGAGCCAGCTATTAGTCATTTTATGATGGAAAGTATAAATATAAGAACCCAGTCTGAGGTTGGGATAGTGTCTTAGTTTGTTGACGAAGGAATGCCTAGGTGATAAATAAATCCCCATTTCCTAAAATATGTCATTCCATACGAAAACTTACCCTAATGTTTGTCAAGTGTGCTGGAATCGGCGACTCGTTAGATAGCGGTATGATACGCTGCGTGGGCGTGAGAGCCTCAATCTCACCGAAATCCACCTTTTTCGCTTTTACGAATAAGACGGGGCCGACACAGTAGCAGATAACTTCAACCACCTTTATAAAAAACTCTTTTTATTTCTTGTTTTTTAGTTCAGTATAATCAAGCATCATTTCTCCTACATTTGGACTTCTCAAAATTAGAATGTTTACCTTTTCAAAGCTGCTAAAGTGTAAAAACAAATAACTGATCGCTGTGAAATCAATAATTTTTCTACTGCTACTTAATAAAATTTAGTAGAAGGTAATCGAAGGATTGCTCGTCATGGAAGTTGCTGGAGTGAAAATCGTCTATAACCATTTCTGATTTTTCCTCGTTCTCACATTCCAACTGCCTAACATTCGTGTCATATGATGATCTTCCATCATATTGAATATATTTGTGATTGATATTGATCTCGATTTGTTCTAGTATTTAAAGATTACTTGTCTTTCTAAGTCAGATGCTTCTAGTTTTGGAAGACACATTGCAATAGTTGGAATACTGAAGCTAACCCTGGTCAGTGAACTCAGGTGTTGGATCTCTTTGGTAGAAAATTTTTCTAAAGTCGGAGGAGAATGGGTGCAACTAAGTAGAGAAGGCCGACTTGCATCACAGCAATCAGGAAATGCTACAGACCAAAGCGTATTTGGCATTTTAGACGAAAAATCAATGTAGATTTATTAAAAGCAATTAGCACTTTGAAATCGTGTTGAAGCTCCAGGAAGAGATCACTTAAAACTGCATCAATTCAGTAAGACTCAAGGTATGCGACAATTGGAAGTATTAAGTGGACACATGCACACGCATTGCACGACATCAATCAAGTAAAAATACGAAATTCACATCGGAATATTCTACTAAATGTGCTCAAATAATATTTGACGTCTCTATTCAAGGACCAACCAATGCGTTGGGTTGAGTTTGTGTTCAGTCCTTATGAAATGTATGTCATACATATGAATGTTAGAAATAAAAAAAGGACTTTTGTCATCGATACTAACCAGAGGATTATAATCGGCTCCATCAATCAAAATTTCTAGTCTTGCAGGAACAACTCCTGTAACCTTTGCATAGGCTCTCAGGGATACAATCGTCACCTCTCCTGGAGGCAGCACACCCTTAAGAAAAAGTAGCAAGATGTAATTGCGAATTTAGCATACACGCATAATCACATTGAGAGCATGTAGTACCTCCGACGATGTTACCACCAAGTGAACATTAATGTTTTCCTTTGGTTGAACGTGATACATGGCGGGAAGATCGGAAGGATTCAGAAGATGAACAGCAAACTCTCGTGGATGGTTAAGGAAGCAGGACTGGAGTTCGATTTGTGAAAATTGAGCTTGGATCTGTGGAACGCAGCATCTATGCCCGCAAGTCATCGTATATTTGAGCACTCACTTGGCGACGACTGGAATCTCGAAAATATTTCCCACTGACTTCATGTTAATGTAAATGCGACTGTCAGTGATGTCTACATCGACAGCAGAATAGGTAATTTCTGCCTCAATGACGTCCATTCCTTGTAGAAGGACCTGCGATGGGCTGACCTTGAGGAGATGAGTTCCGACCTCAAAAGTAACTGGAATGAGAATTGCGGATGGGTTCTTCACTGTCATTTTTTTTGTCACCTCGAAACCTGGTCAAAATCCATAAAAATAATTTTTAAGGAATCCCATAGCGGAAATTTAAACACAAGGCATAGCAGAACCTTCAAACGCTACATAAACTCTGTCAGCATTATGGTGTTTTGCAGGTTGATCTTTGGAGACTTCTGACTCAAAGATGGATATGATAATAGCAGTTAGCTAACCGAAAGCCACTCTCCCAAAGTCCAAAGGGGATGGTTCAATTAACAATTCAGGAGGAACGACTTCACCGCTTGAACAGTCAGAAAAAAAACATTCTATTAGTACACTTATAAGGTTGAAAATGAAATGATTCAGACACTGACCTTATGCTGACGGTTTTCATTCTCAAACTCCCCGATATCTCAATGTCAATGCAGTGCGTAAACGGTCCCAAATACAACGACCGAAGAGTCACTGTAACGACTTGATATCCGTTGGCGACTACGATGCCTTCTAGTGGCATAACTTCATAATCATCCGAGTGTAAATGCATAGAGTATGATGCCTCAATATCACTTCTGTTATGCAGTACCAGGTCAAGAGCTTTCTTTGTCGTTACCAAAATCTTGCCAACATTCAGTGAGGTAAAGGAAAACTCAATTTCTGGTCCTCTACCTTCACCGCAGAGGGATAGCTTTAGTGGTTCTTTAAGCCCGGTTACGGAGCAGAATGCTGTTGAGACGAATTCCTTTTCTAAATCTGGATTAAAAGTAATGGCAAGGTTCCGCAAAGATCTTGGCATCAAAATCCCATCCAGAGGTTGCAAGAGGAAGGCGTCGGAAAATTCCTACGAATATATGTTATTAGAACAACTATACCGGCAAACTCCATTTGAAATTTACTGTCTGGTCACTGTCATTTCGAATAGTAAGGGAAGCAAAACTATGGGTGCCTATCAATGTATCTGGCAAATTTATGAAAGACTGAGAAAGTGCAACTGCTGCTTCGTAACCCTCGCCATTAAGCTCACACACAAGTTCTTCACCTGTACAAGTAGACGCAAAAGGTATATTTGAATAACCTTCACAAACAAAGATGAGGAGGCCTTGTTGAACTGACATCTCGCCTGGAACAAATGTGACGAGAAGTCGAGCTTCGTTGGTAGCAGATATTATGCCATGAGATGGGTGAACCGAGAAGGGACTTGAGGTAAATCCATAACGTGTTCTTACCCAAATGCTGTTGCTCTGAATTTAGATGGAGACTGGAAAGTGGAAATAAACGTGAGGATTTTCTGAGACTCTTCATTTACGAGGCATCTGGAAAAGGTGGCTGTAGTGGGTCCGAAGATTTTATGTGATTCCAAAAGAGCGAGGATAATTAGCAATATTGGTTTGCCATCTTTCCTAATAACTGATTCATGGGTGTATTTCGACAGGTCCTCTGGTGTAAATTCCATGTACACTGAAAAGGTCGTTTTATCACCATGCTTTTCAGCTAAGCATTGTGATACTTTAAAATAGTTAGACTTCGTTTTCTCAAACAAGAGTTCGGTCTTGCAATTTGACCGGAAATTAAGAACAATTCTGTGTGTATGAAAAGGGGAAAATTTTCTTAAAATTAGGAAATATTGTTTCGATGAGTCAGAACTTAAACAAAAGTCGATAACGTTCTAAAAATAAGGATCATTTGAGGGTAGTTAGCATACCAAACTGCGTATGTGTAGTTCCCGTTGAAGAACACTCATTCTTAAAGTAAGGACGTCTAAAAGAAAGAATAAATCTACAAATTATTGAAACAAAATGGATGATATTTCAACAGTAGAAGCTGATAAAAAATAATAATCAATGCGAAAAATTCCAAGCCTAAAGCTAGGCTAAAATCCTAGACTGCAATTGTTTTAAATATAGCATTAGAAAATTTAAAAAAAATGGCTACACCAAAGTTAGATGGACGTGTGCATATTTAAAGAACTGTGTAACTTATAGTTGTTGATACGGCTGCCATTAAAATATGTATGATTAAATAGTATTAAGCACGAATTTAAAGGACGGCAGAAGTCAGAGTTTAATAGCATCCAAGAGGTTCGAGCAATCGCATTACATTTCTGCATATCATAAAAACACAATAGAGATCTGCGTTCATCACTAGTAAATCGTCTACGGAAAGAACCACATTCAGCGGGGCGTCAAGGTCTTCCAACAAAAACGAAAAATGGCTTATGGCAACGCCTAATTTTTCGATATATAGCAGATATTATTGCCATGACACAAAATCATCGTGTGATTTAATAAATTGGCACACTACAACCATCGAGTTGAAAACCCACGTGTAAACAACGAAGGTGATTAAGAATTTGATTATTTATGGTTAAAAACAAAAATTTGTTAAATAAAAAACGCAACTAAGAATGAATTCCATAATGAACATTTAAATAAACAAGAAACGGACGTAGCGTCCTGAAATTGCTGGTCGGTAATAAGAAGTCAGTAAGTGCAGCTGGATATATGTATTCAGAAGACGATAGGGAAAGTGGGACCTGGACGTAGCCCAAGGCCAGCTCACATGTACAGGGGCCAGACAAATTCTAAGATGACCGCCATACGTCAGGTAGTCACATTAACAAAGTATTACACTGCCCCTATCTTCATTTGAACGGCGTCCTCGGTACTCCCCTTGGTGTAACTTCCGCACCAGCCATCACAACATATTCGGTAATACAAGAAAGAACCCCCGAGCCAACTGCGCCAGTCGACAGAGAGCATGAGACTGAGGAACCGTACTTGGTCTCCTCAGCAGCTTCAGCTGGATCCAGAGTTGATGCCATCTCAAAGAGACACTGTGGCATTGATTAGCAAGGAGATGACGAATTTTGAGAACCAAGCTAAAGAGATGCCCAAAGGTGACAT